TTCATATTTAATCTTATACTCTATACTTGTACATTAAATCGTGTATGCTTTACTTTTTCCAATGTAAAATTTTTCAAAAATTTATTTTATAAAACTTATAAAACTCCAAATTCCATATTATGTATGATGCAGATTAATAAAGTCTTGAATACAAAAGGAAAATAATTATTCTTTTGAATACATAAATATCGAAAGCGTATGAAATATATAAATACAAAATATTAAATTATGGAACCACAAGTAAAGGATAAAAAATAAATTCGAGTTACTTTCGTGGGTAATTACGAAGGCACGAACTTTCGTCATCAGATTAAATAACACATAATGTAGTCTCATATTATAATTTATATCAATAATGATTAAACTTAATTTTGAACGTAAATAAACTTTATCTTCAATATTATGTCACTTTCCTTAGAAAATTGCAGAACCTGAATTAATAAAATTGCATTTACGATATTTATTTAATTCGGCGGTCGTGAAGACTAGAGATATATTGAATTATACTTCATTTTTTAAAAAAAAAAAATTTGTACCGATTTCGCAAAATTCTTAAAACTTATAATTGTTCTGGACATGAACAGTATGCTAAACTATAAAGACTGATTGGTTATCATAATTTTTTTTTTAAATAAGTTATTAAATTTTAATAAAATTTTAAGAAATTTAGAAAATAATTTTAACAGAAAAAAGCTATCACTTATCATTCAGCAAAATTCAAAATTTTGAAACGCGATTGGTATTATATTTAGGTGTAAGAACGAAATTGTTGACATCCAATTCTGGTTCAAGAATATAATTTTCAAAGCTATCCGTGGGGAGTTAGGAATTTATGGTATCGGTTTACTTAAATCGACCCTTTCTGAGAAATAATTGTATATATGCTGATTTTATTTTCGATCTTTTATAATAGAGTATGTAATTCGAGTTTCGACCATTTATATATTGGTAGTAATCATGGACTAAATATTTTACTTTTTTGGTCGTCATAAATTACACAAAACAAATACAAATTTTTTTGATCTTGTACGACCATGTATAAGAATAAAGTTAATGATGAAGAAAATATACAACTTTTATTTGTCTAACTGTGCTTTCTGTAATGGGTTTGAATCTTTTTCTTGAAAGATAAAGATTTTTTAAAAAAAAAACTGATAGATTAACTAATAACTTTCTTTAAAGAATTTTTTTTTTTATTATGAAAATACGGTAATTATAGGATGTACAATATACAATATGTTTCTGAGGTAAATAATATCCAAATTTACGAAAATGTACCTCCGGGACCCCCTGTCAAAAAATTTTTGTTTAATAAAATAAGCATTGATTATTGATGAAACCTTTATCACCAAAAAAGATCGACCAATCTAAAATGAGACGAATCAAGACCATTCACGAATAATAAATACACTTTGAGCGTCCTGATTTATCTTCTCCAATTTTTATCCGTTCGATCTGAAATTTTGCACACTTGTCATTCAGACCTTGAACTAGTATTATCTAGGTTTATACGTAATTTCATCATATGCACACGCTTTCACATTTCAGACTTTCGTCACTTTCTCCCTGACGAAATCGTTGCAAATCAGTAATTATATATACTACGACTTTGATTTCGTCTCCAGCCAGCGCAAAAGTTCATGCTTCTTCTATATTGTGATAAGATTTGTATACATTCTCAAAATTCTCTAATTCTGAAATTTCAAATGAATTTATTATGTAGAATTTTTCTCTTTCACTGATTTTCAAATATTTTAGAAAGCATCAAAAAAGGAATATTAATACTAGAAAAGCTTAAAATTTTTATTTTAAAAAATATAACCAATATTCCTATTTAACTATAGGTTTAGAATACATGATATCCCGAAATAGTTCATTAACATATTTTTATACAAATATTCTTGACATATTAATAATAAAGATTTAGATGAAAATATAAATATTGGATCAAAATATTTGTTTTTTAAAATATCAAAACATTAAAATTCTACTCCTGCCTCTTTTTTGATCCTTTGATCAAATGCCTACATTCTTAGCATAGAATACCTTTTTGTTAAATATGCAATCCTAATATACTAATGTCATACTTAGATCATATAGATAAGTCCTTAACTTCTTGTTTTGATAATAATGATCTATCTATCAGATTATCTAACAAAAATCCTTCTAAAATTAGCATAAATAAATTTCACTCATGACTTTCTTGCTACCCCCCTTATGTTTAGATTGTATAGTCTTATCTGCTAAAACGAAGTGATATAATTTTGTCTAAATATAAAAAGATTCAGTAATTACATTATTTAATAACTTACCAACAGTTAGATCTTCATTAAGGTTAAGAGTTCAGGTCACTCATTCATATCTTTATAGATATCTTTAGTCTTGATTTAAATATAAATGAATCTGTATCTATATATCTAAGCTGGACTTTATCTCCATATTTTTTCTTCACATATCTGTATCAGAATTCATACATGTGAAGCTTGCCAAGACTTAAGACTGATAATTTAACTATTACAGGTTTATTAAGAGTCTCACAAGTCTTTTCCATAAATATGTCTATAAGAGTACTTCTAAGTGGTCTGCTATACTTGAATGAGGGTTGACAAATCTTATTTATAACTTTTTCTCATTTTGCTTATTATTAATAACTATAAACTTAACATCTTAATACTTTCAGATATTTTTCATAGTTTTGCTATATATTGCATTATTTTTGAGCTTGAAAAAATCACTTAGAAATGTGTTTTCAGTTTTTTAGCTTCTTAACATTTTTAGTATTAAATGTTATATAAGAGATTAGCTAATTAGTCTAATTAAAAAATAGTATCTCTGAAATCTTATCTATACTGTACCTAATTTTACATAGTATAAAAGCTCCTGGTAGTAGATAACATAATCTTTAGGCCAAGATGTGAAACTAATTTTTCTATATTAATAAAGTGTTTGCCATCTAATTACTTTATAAGCTTATTATTATAAGAACTTAACAAATCTTTTTCTATTACAATATTTTCTATAGCTGAAAGTAGATTACTTAAATAGTCATAAGTCTTTAGAGAAAAATGAGTCTTAATTTTTAAGTAATATTCACGTAAGATATCTGCTTTAATTTTAAAAATTATTTCAAAATATTTCTTCTACATACCTAGAATCTTAAGTAAATATTTCTGATTTGTTTCCTATTAATAATTTCTAATAGATAGAAATTAGTTTAAATATTAATTGTAAAGATTTATTGTGTTAATATATGAAATCTATATTATAAGTTAAGATGAGTCAAAACCCTCTCCCATTTTTAGATTATTGGCTTTGATATAGTTAATATGCTATAGATATCCTTCTCATTTAACTTTTTCTATAAAATCATGTATAGCTATATCTGTAAATAGCTCAATCTTAATTTTAGTCATCTTAAGCATAACATCTTAAGAATATGTTAGGAGAGTAATATAGTAGTTAGAATCAAGTCTATCATAGTTCATAGAAATTTTTTGTAACTGCATCCAAACATCTATAAAACTTAATACATTAGTTTTAAGATAGATATCATGATACTCACTTAGATTTTAGCATCTGAATTCCTTTTATACTTTCTGAGCATATATATAATCTTTTTGGCTAATTTTATCATGAAGATATGTATATAAATATCTTCATAAAGTATAAATTTAATCATCTAAAGCTAAATTAAAATCTAAATTAGAAAATAACAAGTTATGAAAAAAAAACCATTAAATAAATATTTTATAAAATTACTTAAACAATTATATTCATAAATTCGCAAAATGATTTTAACATACACTAGATAATGGGAACTATTAAAGCGTCCAAAGCATTCAAATGGTTGATATTTGATCAACTATAGTATAATACTTATTTGGCATATCACGTGGAGGGACAGATACTACATGCGTCTAATCATAATGTTCTACGCTTACGCTTCAGATAATTACCTTATTAAAAGTATCCAGTCAATCAATTTAAAATTATATTTTATTATAAATATTATAAATTTTTAATATATAGTTAGTCATCCTTGACTTTCAATATCTAACGTAATATACTTTTAATTAAATTAATATAAGTTTTGGATGGAATATTTTCCATTCTTCTTGCAATGCTTTTTAAGTTCATATAAATTTTTGAATATCCTGATTATTTTGAAGTATCCATTCTAGTTCATGCTACAAATGTTTAATAGGATTAAGGTCTAGAGATTGAGAAGACCAATCTAAAAGAATCTTAAACTTTTTCTGTATAATCCAATTTTCGATATCCTTCACGATATAAACATATACTTCGATAGCGCAGTAAAATTATCAATACACAAAATTTGATGTTACATTGCGAAATTAAAAAGTTACGGTGAAAGCGAAATTATCGCGATGTAAAAGGGAGGATTTTGAAAGGAATGTAAAATAAATATCACAAGGACGAGCGTGGATATTGAACTGTTTAAGAATTTCCAGCTCGTATATATAAAAAAAAAAATAATTAGGCCAACTTGGCATCTTGAACATTTTGTCATTCTGGCACCTTGATAACCTGGCATCTTGACAGCCTGGCGCCCTGACAACCTGGCATCCTGGCAAATGATCATCAAAAGACTAACTGTAAATATCGGAAGCGATTTTTATGCGGAATTATGGAGATCTCGGCCAGAATTAAATTCAATTGTAACAGTAGCACAGACAGTACCCGTCATTTTGCTATTTAAAAATACATATAATACCAATATTTTACGAATTTAACAGTCGACTTAATGTTCAATTACATTACCTAAGAGGTTAAGATAATAATTCAAATACTTTATTTAGAGAATTTACGTGAAATATAATACCTAGTACTTTTGTTCTTTGGTAGTATTATTTTTATGATGTATTATTAAATATGAATTTGAATTGTTGAAACAAAATTTGAAATTTTAATATAAATCTAAATATAATAAGATGTAAGTCAGCTTCAACTCCTCAATAACAACTTTATTTTTATCAAATATGAAAGCAACAGGCATTGTTACGCATAAGATAACAAGAGCCTATGCGCGAGCAAATAATATTAAACTTTATGAACCCCTTCCGATAAGTAGAAGAAAAAGAAACAAACCTTCTACGACTACGCCTCGTAAAACGAGAAGCTCTACTAGAAGTTCCAAAAAATGGTAACAATCCAATCTTTTTTCAAGAATAAAAAAACGACATTTAAGATTTATTTTCCAAATCCATTATTTCTATAATTTAGACCCAAATTCATTGTAGTCTTTCTTCAACTAACATTTCGGTTTACTTTTATAATAAAGGTGTATAATTTCGTTTTACTTTTTTAATGAAGGTGTATACCTTACCGAAAGATCATATGGTTGCTTTTAAAATTCACTTTAACGTTGTGTAAATGTATTAAAAAAGAAATTTCGATAATGTATCTACCGTAATATTCTGAAAATGATCGCGTCTAATTTTCAGATTTTTTCAGATTTAAAAACGCTTAAATGGTAAAATTTTGTAAAAATATGTTTTTCTTCTCCTTTATTTTATTATATATTTTATCTCTTATTTTATCACGTATTTCTTTCGATAATGAATAATGGTTTTAAATATTAAATTCAATATATAATACAAAAAAATATAAATTTGCATTAATTAATTTATTTTCAAATATTCTTTATTTATTTCATAAATCTGTGTTTTTGTGCTTGCTAGTCGCGCCTCACTGCGGCGAATATCATAGAAGTAATACATGTTAGTAACGCATGTGATATATGTGACATGACATATGTGACACTTGGATTACTTTGATTCTTCAATAGAAACTCTCAGTTGCATTTCCTTCTATAAGAACAAAATAACTGAATCCTCATATTAATCCCTACGACCTTATACATTTAAAGTATTTAAAATAATGTTCGTAATATTTAACATTTGATAGTTCGTTTATTTACATGTTTTCATTTTACATTTTTTTTTTTAATTGGCGACGACCGATTTGTATATTCGTTATAACATATAAAAATTTAATCCTTCATGAAAAAGGTCATTCCTTTCAAAAAAAAAAAAAAATTTTTTTAGGTTTTCCATTCTTGGCCGGCGAATTCGATGGTGGGAAAAGACCTTACGTCTCACATATATTTTTTTTATTCTGTTTGCATACAGGAATAAGAAATATTTGAGAAAGACATTCGTTGTGTGTGTAGTATGATAATTGATTAAAAGATTGATCGTTAAAGGGCTCATTTGAACTATTGATTTCTCCTTTTATAAAAAATTGAATTAGAAAATCAGAAGTATACAGCACAAATTTTATGATAATGTTTCCAATTTTTATAAAAAAAAAAAAGATACGCCAACAGATAGATGTAAAGTTCGTTAAAAAAATTTCACGATTTCATGATGCGCAATTTGTTATTCAGTTTAATAAATAATTTTTTTTTTTAAACAAAAAATATATATACGAAACGTTAATAAATAAATATTATACAAGAAAACTTCGATATAAGAAAAACAAAGTATAATTTAGGATTTGAAAATAAAAATTTGATCAATTTGATTTATTGAGTTCGTAAACCATGTCAGTTTGTAATATACCTTTTATGGGGAGCCCCTAGATATTTGGCATAATTGAATGCTTGAATCAAATTTTTGATGGCAAGATTGTAATTGGCAATCATATTTCCATTATTTGCAGCCTTCTCGTACAAAAAAAATTGCCAATTTCGAATCTTCTTTCGACTCCTATACTATACTCATCCAAGTATCAATATTTAACTGTCCCGCCGCAAGTTCCTTATTGGCGACCTTTACAAAATAACTAAATGCCAATCTTGATTATTGATCGTTCTATATACATTTTGATAACATAATATAGCGCCAAGATATGATCCTTTTCTGAAGCATCATTGAATAATTCGAACGCCTTCACCTTATCTTCACTCGTTTCAATTCCAAAATAATTAAAATATTCCAGTAAAAATTCATAGTTGAATTGTTTGATTTTTTTAATAACCAAGTATAGATTTCTTTCAGAGCAATGTTGTATATGCTAAATAATCAATAAGATGTTACCTCCTGATTTTTGGTTCCTTTCCATCATTTGTCATCTAAAATAAGAGTTACCATTATCAAATATCATGTTTAGCTCGTTCTCAGGCTTGTATTGAATATCTATGACAAAATCATGACTTTGCAATGATTTCTTTCATCCTTGCAACTATTTGATTCATCGTTGGTCGATTTTCCGATTTGCCATTCTAACAATCTAAAAAAGCAACGTAATCGATTCAATAAATAATTTATAGTGCTATTTTGTTTAAACAAATTTCAGTTAATCATAAAAAATCTTTTCATCGAGTCATTTTAAAATATGTGCGATATATTTACCAGTTCTCGGTTGACGATGACTTCCTCGTGTAAAAAGAGATAGCACCAGCTAATTTATATGTATTATTGTTCCAAGCTTCTTGAAATTTTCTTCAGGTAATTACAAAGGTTACCGCCATCAGCATATTCCATCATTAGAAAATATTTCTTTTTATCTAAAGATAAATGTGTACATTTCATTAAAACGCGTTTTACGTATTTTACAACTCGAATAAATAGATAACCTTGTAATGATTTGTAACTTGTTTAAAAGTGAAGATCCCGTAGAAGCGAACGAAGTAGTTTTTTTATTATATTTCTTTTTTTTTTTTTTTTTAAGTTGGTTCTAGTGATCGGTCGCCCGTTTTTTTTATTATATTTCATGTTCCTAATGTGGTGTAACTAATAAAATAGTGTAACAACCTCTGACTGAACTCAAAAATCAGGGGTTTTGGCTATTTCCGTATATTTATTGGATGTCTTTCCCTTTTCACATTTTTCATCACTTAATCTTCTCACCATTATTACAATTAATTTAAAAAAGAAAAGTTTTACTTTGATATTATATTTAGATAAATTTATTTAAGAAAGCAATAAACTCACGAACCCTATATCGTTTATCTTATAGTATTAGTATTTAACTAAGAAACTACGTGGGAATTATATTTCTCCCTTTTCTTATATCTTTTCACGTATTTACTAGAAAAAAATTCGAGATGAGATACCAGGAAATTTCTGTCAAATGAACAAGTCAGGCGCTTTTGTCGTAGTGGACGGAAATGGGACTGACTCCTTCGCGGTAGATCTTTGGCAAAAGAGGATGTACGAATTCATCGATCAAGGGCCTTCGGAGGATTCACGAAGACGACGCAACGGGACAATTCCAAGTCCCTAAAACGCGTTCATGATATATCGGAAAGATTTAAGCGCGAAACTAAGACGCACGCACCTGGGATAACGGTTGGACTTGCCGGCAACATCAATCTCAAAGCGTTTTAAAATTCTTGAGGTGGATGTAATCCACTATTCCCCCCGATCATAAATGTGAAGGATTACTTAAACATTCCAGCATCACTATCTATGCGCGTGGAATATTGCTTCAGTCATATGATCCAATAATAGATTAATTAATAATAAAACGAAATTATTAACATAAAAATTTTACCTGTACTTTCGATCATGTATCAAACTGCCAACAATACTTCGTACTACTTACAAAGCTTCTTTACAAGTCTACTTCGACGTTTCACTGAAGAATTATTAAATCAGGTAGAAACTGAGAGGAGGGAAAGATGAATATCTACCAAAATAAATCGCTAGACGATATTTAACCCTAAAGAATATAAGCTGAAGTTATATAGTCGTAAACTAGTGATTATCTGCTGGACGATAGGTTCATTTATAAGCAATCTCAATATTATCGACGAACCTAAATGATTATAAAAAGGTGTTAGTAAAGTTACAATAGATGGTTTGCTGATCACTAATTATCCTTCGACCGTCTATGGACACCATAATGTAGAGAACAGGCTTTATTCTAGTCTGGAAAGGTAAGTTCGTAAAATTTTCAACGTTTTAAACATAATATATTTTATTGTATTACTTAAATAAAAAATTTTCTTTGTTTTGATTGGCCCTAGTCTTATAATAAAAAAATTTTTTTTTGTAGGTTCACATTCTCAAAAATTAAAAAAATTTTTAACAAAGCTTTTTCGGTTTTTGAAATTTATCGGAGAATTTATTTATTCAAATAATGATCATATTTATTATTCAATTCTTAAAATACAAAAATAACTAATTTCCGAGTTTAAATATTATTTTAATCCTCCCGCTTTTACATTTTTTTACCTTAAAAATTCGAGACACAACACACTCAAATAACAAGTTTACCAACATTACCAGACTCTTTAATACAACTGTATTGCTTTGAAACTCAAATAACAAGCTTACCAACATTACCAGACTCAACGGATCTCCGTTGCTATCATTATGACACCCACGATAGTTTTTTGTTATTTTAGCAAATTTTACCCGTTCTATGGTAAAAAGCGTTTGGCGCTTTAGGGTTTGGGACATTTGACAGAATTATCAGTGATTAATTCTTGTAATTTTCAATTTTTAACCAATTTTTTTTTAGCAATGGAAGATTAAAAAAAAGGTCTACAAGTTATTTTTTTGTACCTTTATGCACTTTATTGTTTCTTGCAGGTTAGATAATAATTAATTGGATAATTGAAAAGCTTTATTTATTAATACATTGATTTTAATAAATCATTTTTATTTTTTATAAAAAAAAAAAAATTTTTTTCTATTTAATTCAAAAAGTGTTTATTATCGACATTGAAAAAGAAATCTGATATCTATTAAAAGAGGAATTAAAAAGAAAAAAAAAGTCGAAGAAATTTAGGTAAGCATTACAGATTATTTATTATAATATAAATATCAATTATATCTAAATATTTCTTTAAATTTTAATAAATGAAAAAAATATAAGTGAGAAAACTCAAAAGATAATATTTTGATAAAAGTATGATAAATAGTTTCATATTGGAAGGGTTTTGTTATATTCTTTGTTATGATTTTTAAGATAGTTTTATCTGAGTTTTGACTATTATTAGAAGACGTTGTCCCTTATCTATATATTATACATGTATGTTTAAAAGTTATCAAATTATTCATTATATAATTCATTATATTCTTTTTAAGTATACTATATTTTGATTCTGAATTTTTTAATTATAATCACTATTATACCAATTATTAGGTTAATATATTAGTTAATATAATTAATTTCCTTTTATATAATTATATTATCATAATAAATCAGTTAATCATTATAATAAAATTATTTTATTTTAAAATAAATTTTATTAAAAAATTTAAATTTTTCACAAAATTAAAGATTATTAATAGTTTTACTTACAGTAATTCAGTTTAAGCTAATCCTATTTTTATATTTAAAAAAAATAAAGAAATATTAAAAATTTAAAAATATTAAAGAAATGAAAAAATAAATGAAAAAAAATTTAAAAAAAAGAAAAAATATTAATATAATTATATTAAGTTGGTTAAAGATTTATTACATAATTACAAAATCTGATTTTTTGTATAAACATATTCATATTTTCAGTTGATTCTAAAGGATGTAAAGAGGTTGATTATATTATTAATAAAAAATTAAGTATTTAAAATATTTTTAATAGAAAAAATATATTAAAAAAAATTTGTTAATAAAGAAGAAATATATTTGTAATTTAATATAATAGATATCAAATTATAAAAATAGAAAACTCATTATCATTTATATATTACTAATAAGAAAATTAAATTAAAAAATATTTTTAATAGAAAGAATATATTAAGAAAAATTTATTAATGATAAAAGAAATATTATATTTATAGTTTTAATCTAATAAATATCAAATTTTTAAATAAAAAACTGAGATTTATTTTTAATAAATATAATTTTGATTCTTTAATCAAAGTTCAATTAATTCCATTTTTTTATATTAAAATAAATAGTTTTTAAATCTACTAAATAATTTTACTTAAATTACTAAATATAATTGATTTTACAAATTATATTCTAAAGTTATTAAATAAAAAAAAATAAATTTGTAAGTCAAATTTATTATATAAAGTATTATTTACTTTACAAATATTTTATTTAATATTAATAAAATTTAAATTTAAATAATTTTAATTCTTTTTGCATAATTTTACTTAGATTATAAAAAATAATTTATTTTAATTTAAAAATTTAAAAAAATTATATTAAATAAAAAAATTTATAATTTAATATTAGTATAAAAAATATTTTTTACTTTATAAATAATAATTATAATAATTAAACATTAATAAAAATTTATATAAATATTTTATAATGAAGAAAAAAATTTTTTGAATTAATGTTAAATCTAGATTTATTTTTTAAAAATTATTTTTAACTTTATTAATCAAAATAGTTCAAATCAAACTAGAAATCAGATAATTAAATTTAAACTGCTAATTGATCATATTTTTGATCAGTATAAATTAATATCAATTAATACTAATATATAAAATTTAGACCAAAAGTTATATGCACAAGTTATATTATAAACAGTGTTAGATTTGAATAATGTTTAATTCTTATAATTGGATATTTAGATAAAATTCAATTGGATATCATTGGAATTGAACAATATTCAATTTGTCCAATTGCACATTTGAACATATGTCTAAATCTAATTAGATATCATATATATATTATTTCGCATAATAAAGATAATCTTATTCTAAAAAAAATTTTTTCTTTTCTAGTTTTTTTTTTGTTCTTTATTCAATAATGTTACTCCTAAACTATTCTTATACCAAATATATCATTATTTTAAATAAAAAAGCAAATAAATAATTTTGCATTATGTAAATATTGTAAAACTAAAATTACTAACACAAAAAGATTAATAATTTTCCATTTAAAATCTTGTAAAAAATTTGAATAATAACATAACGAAAATGAAAGAAATAAAATACTTTTTCTTGAAAAATATAATGAGAAAATTCAAATTGAACAAGAAATTTCTACTCCTTCGCCATATGATATTTTTTTAGTAATAATTTTTTTGAAATTTGTTAAACAAAATAATTAATATTTAAATTTGCTTTTTAGAATTAAGTGAAGAAAAGTTTGCTGATCAAGTAGCAAAAAAATCAAATTTAGACAAAAATAATCAAACAAAAATTATAACTTATATGCCTAGATCAACTCCTCTTTCTAAATAAGATAAAGCACATTAGAAAGATTTAGTATTGATTTCTACTATAAATAACAGGTGGTCATTTAGATAGGTTGATAATGAGTCAAGTTAAAAAATGATTAATTTTGCAAATCCTGAATTAAAATTTCCTAGTTGCAAAGTATTAGTAGGTTGTATTTTAAGTTTAAATTCAGAAACTATTAAGAATGCTTTAATTGATACTACACAAAAAGATGTATTTGGAATTACTGTATGTTTTGATAGATAGAAAAATGTTAAAAAGTAAGAAATTATAAGTTCAATTTTGATTACTTCAAATAAGCAAGTTTTAGTATAGGAAGTGAAGATGTAAGTAGAAATTGTCTTCGATGAGAAAATATTAAAGAATTTTTATTAAAATTTTTAGGAGAATTAAATAAAAAAAAATATATAATATAATGCTATAATCACTGATTCAGAATCTTAAAATCAAGTTGCAAGGCAAGTTAATAATTTAAATAAATTTTTTTAAAGTTATTATATATTATAATTTAATTTTAATTTTTTTATTTTATAGAAAACGATTGGTATCAGAACAGCATGACATTTTTTTGATCCATATTTTGCTTATCAAACAAATCTAATTATTGAAGAAATCTTTAAGAAATCTTCTTATTTAGTTATTACATCAGATAAGGCTATTCATATTATTTTATATCTTAACAAATTAGTTTACTTTACAGCTAAATTATATGACAAATAAAAAATTTAAATATAATAAGTATTTTGTGCTACTTCTTTCATGTACTACCTGATAGAATTCTTATTATCATTGCTATTTTAGTTTATTACAAACAAAAGCAGCTTTAAAGGTATTTATAATTACAATTTTAAGTTATTTAAATAAAATTAACTTTTTTTTTATATTTTTTAGATGCTTATGGCAAAATATGCTCCTGATAAATTTGATCAAAAAAATTAGGATAAAGAAATTTATGATTCTAATAAAGAATTTGAAATAAGAAATGAAAAGCTTTTACTGTTTGATATTTGTAAAATTATTGATAATGAAGTTTGATGAAAAGAAATTTGACAATTGAAAAAGCTTTTACTTTTTTTTTATGATGCATTAAACAAGTTACAAGCAGAAAATGCCTGTCTCTATAATGTGTTTCATAGTTTTAGTTATTTTTACAAAATATGAAAAAAATATTCTGATCAAAACTTAGGAAAAAAAATGATTTTACATTTAGAAAAATAGTAATTTATCTAAGAACAACCTTTATTATTAATTTCTTTTCTTTTGCATCCTAAATACTGAGATAATTTTTTTATTAATAATCAATCTATTTCTTTTATAAAATTAAGTAAATAGATGATCTACTATTTTACATTTGGTTTGAAAAGATGCTTACTATATTATTAGAAGAATTGCAAAATTATCAAAAACAAGATTTTTCATTCAATAATATTTCATTAAAACAATTTGAAATAGTATACTTAGCTTTTGGGATTTTATATTTACTTATACATCAAATTTAAATATATTTATACTAAACTATATACAATTTGCATTAATACTACTTTAGTTGAAAGGCTGTTCTCTACTATAGAATTCTTTCATATAAATAAAAGAAATCATTTAAATGTATATATTTTAGTTTTTAAATACTTTAATGAATTAATAAATTTTTTTACTTTCTTAAATATAACAAATTATCTATTATAATCAGAAAAGATTTTTACCATAAGTCAAATAAAAGGAGAATTTAATCGTCAAAAATGAATAAAAAAATATTTTACATACAAATAAAAAGTTGAAAATCACAAATATTACAATTCCAATAATTCAAGGGTAACAGGAAGATG